TGTTTGTCAATTATTCAGTATTTGTCCCGGAAAAAATTCCGTTCTGTGAGCAAGGTTGTAAATTAATTTCAGCTGAATTAGTGTTCATTTTTATCCTCGACTTCTAGTTCGATGTTAACTTTAGGTCTAAACTGAAGTCTTGTGTTGTGTTTGTTCTACTGTTTTACTTTAGAAAATGTCCATACCTATATCAAACCTACTGCATTGGTAAATATGGCGTGTTCAGATTCGTAAGTACTGATTATTTTATAGATGGTAGTCAAATTCTTCGCCTTTAGTCATTGTAACAAGTTTGATCATGTTATTCGAAAAGTTATTCGAAAAGAATTCAGTTTTTTTAATTAGAAAACTTTGAGTTTGAAAAAACTTTATTATTTGAACCTGTGATGCGGTTTTTCTTGTTTATTTTACTTAGAGACTCACATTAAGATTGCAATTTTGATCACCATAAGAATTGCCCAGAGTTGAGAGCAGAGTAAATAAATAAATGGCAAAAAATTTCCTCCGAATTGACTTTTTTTTATGATCAGTCATAACCAGAATCATATATCTGTGAACAGATATCAAATTCGAAGTTTGATTTTAACTGACTGCTGTAATTGATATTTAACTCCTCGCACCAATTCGTGTTTTGAGGGCAAAACTATACCGGTCGTTTTAAAGCAGTGGCATACTCATTTGACGGCGAGTGATTTAATGATTGATTGCACGTGTCCTCATCTGTGCTATAATAACTTTGGTAAAAGTTTGCAAAAAATGCAATAGTGGATGCACAAAATCAACTGGCGAGTCCTTAAAACCAAATCATACTTTCTGGTGGTCGTTTCGACCATTTCCTTTCTGTCCAGGGTGAATGTTTTTATAAAGGGTCTTTAGAAATAAAAGTTTTATAGTGTAAAAACTCGAATGTGCGATTATTGATTGCCTAGCAGTGTTAATAAACAAAAATAATTAAGTTTTTTTTTATTCAATTTTTTGCTAATGAAAAGCATTTTTATGATAATCAACCCTCTACTATTTTAACTTTTCTCTATCTAGGCATATTTGTTTCGTGTGATTTTGTCTTCATCGCGGAGACCGTAGAATCATGCAGACTTTTTCGAGCGTTTTACAAATAATTTATCAGAAGTTTTTTTTGGTTTTAAATATACCAAATTGTTTTTTCCGTTAAAATTTGTTGATGGCGTGAAGCTTTCATTTCCAAAGCGAAGTTTAATTATTCATTCGCGTTGTTTTTTAAAAAACTAAGCGAGAAAATTGGTTTTTTAATTGTGATCTTCGTTTTAAATTCGAGTTTTCACATCATCAAAAAAGTCTAATGAAAATGAAGAAAAACCAGTTGTTTCAAACCCAAAAATTACCGAAAAAAAAACTTCAACTAAACTTTGAATTTTGTTCACGATGTAATTCATTTTTTCAGACAAACTTCAAAATAAAACCGTTATCAAAAAGAACATCGAAATTTAACTTCAAAACTGTTTTTTGCTTTGTTTTGTCCACTATAGTAACTAAATGTTACCCAAAGTAATTGAAAAAATAACCCAAAATGTGCTTTTAGGATCAAAGCTGGTATATCGTGGTAATTTTTAGTCATAGTTTTATTTCAGGAGTACAAAGATACCTAAAATGAATCAAATGCAAAGTAACTGCTGAAATAAGATCTCATTTACTTTACACGATTTCAAAATTAATTCAACCACTTTTTTTGAGGACAAATTCGTTAAATTTTTTTATGATATGCGCTGTATATAGTTGTTGTGCTATTGAAAACGTACATCAGATGGAAGATTTTTCCAGAACAACCTATACCATTATTTGCAAGATTTTGAGCTGATTTTTCGAAATAAGTGTGTTTCGATCACTAGCATCACCGTATCAACTTGATGCAGAATTTTAGAATAGAAACAAAAAATGAAGTTCTGATCATGTGGAAAAAGTTGAGGAGCGACTGAAACATTTGGCGTTTCAAATAGCTTTTCAACATCAACAAAAATTGGTTGAATATATGTCGGTGGTTAAGTATGATAGTGGATACCATATTAAACAAAAATTATTTAAGACTTTTCTCTGACTTTTCGTCTAATTGCGTTACATTCCTATCAAATTTTCTATTCGTTTTTTACTATACTGCACTTCTGATTATATTTACATGGTAAATCTTATCAAATTGAGACGTCGAGGTGATGCTTCAGCTACAAAGATTTAAAAGTTGAAAAGTTTGCTGTTTTTTGCTTTATTCTTTCCACTAGTGTAGTTAAATTTTCACGTTAGTCTACTAAACTCAAAGATAAAACTTATCTCAAGCTCAGGTCATTTTTATCTTAAATGTCTGGTCTTACAAAATAAACCTTCGATCAAGATTTAGTTCGAGCAAACTTGCCTTAAAGGTGTACAAAATTTGTTCATGGATGTGCTCAAAGAATCAGAGCTACTCTTCGAAAATGATTGATTTTGCGATGTGAGAGGTGTTTTCAAATTAATTGTTTCTCACATTTAACACCGTAAGGAAAAATTTTTGCAGATGGCCAAAACTGACACGAAATCATCTAGCTTAGTTTTTAATTTAAATTTTGCTCTGATCAAAGAAAGTAAGTCTACAGATACATAACAACAGTGTAAAAATTGATTTGAATTTTCTTTCCCTCTGAACGAGATCCAGCCTCGTTTGCCGACATCAAATCAGGATAGTTAATTTTAGCTTTCTAAATAAGTTGCCGAACTGAGATAGCACTTGCTTCAACATGTTATTTTACTAAACTTCAATGCTGTTTCAATCATTTTTCTTTTAAGTAAAAATGTTGTATAGTTTTTCAGATGCGTTTTAAATGTCAACAAGTATATAACTGTTGTGCTTATGAAAACTCCTAACTAAAAAAACTAGTTAATGAAAAAACCTTGAGTTGTTAGTGTCAAAAAAAGATTTTATGAGTCTCTATTATCAGAATGGTATCAAAACTTTTGAATAAATCAAAAATGAAGTTTCTAATCACATGAAGAAAGTTAGAAAAATTTCCGGAGCGACAGAAATGTTTGGCAGATTTTTGGCTTTGTTTGTTTGGCTTCAAACAGATTTTATAAATTCCACAATCAATTGGTTGAACGCATATATGTTACTAACTATGATAGTGGCTACTAGATTCAATCCAATTAAAAAAAGATTTTTTTAAAAGTTTTTTTTGTGTTAAGTTTGGCTACTTGTGTTACATTTTTATACTTGTGTGTTATCTCTTTACCTTTATGTATCTCGGATTAAAATTACATCAAAAATCTGTCCAAGTTGAAATATATCGTCATCTGATGCTCCGAGGTGTAGATGGTCTTTTTTCTTATGAAAATTTTTACAGCAGTTACACTAATTGATAAAAATAAATGTATTATCGCCTTTTCCACTCTGCGATACTTACTTTGGGCCTCTATGAATAAATAACCTAGAACTTCAAAATATTTAAGATTGGTTGCGTGCAAATGGTTTCAGCTACCTTTAGTGTCTCAAAACTCAAACTCAACCTTTTAGCAGTTTTTTTTCTGAATCTGAAAATGTCATATAAAATTAGCTGCAAAAAATTTAATTGTGGGAATTTTTTTTAAAAAGTTGAAAGACCAATTAGATTTTGTCACAGATTTTTTTTTAAAACGCTTGGCCTCTTTTCTGCTATTATTAACTCTGGAAGAATCCACACCCTATCAAACACACTACGTGTTGTATGGCGTGTCCAGACCCGTATTATCTGGTACTGATTCTTCACAGAAGGTAGTCAAATCATTTGTGCAGTCCTTATAAAAAAATTGGTCAAATTGAAAAATGAGTTCGAAATTATTCTGAAGGTAGAAACTTTTGAGTGAAACTTGTTCTTTATTTGACGCTGTGATATGTTTTTTTTTCTTTTAATTTTGCGCAGAGACTAGCTTGAAGGTTGTTATTTTGATCACTTTAAGACCTGGTCTGAGTTGAAAGCAGAATAAGTAAATACTTGGCAAATTGTGTTCCTGAAAACAAATATTAGAAAAGCTTGAATTTGCGCTGAACATTTCCTAGCATTTATGCTAGATAATATAGTTCTGGCTTTGGTTTAGTTGAAGAAATTTAGCTAAAGAAAACCGTTCCATATAAACATACCTTTTGGCAGAATTGTTTCGAGATTTTTTGCCGTTATCGTGGAGACTTTAAAGCTCAAATCCTCTAAAAGTGCGCCTCATTTGTAATTAATGTTAGTAAGTCCATTGAATTAAGATTCATTTTTTCTCACTTGCAACATCAACGATAATAGCGAGTTTGAAACTCACGACCAGAAAAAAAAACAAAAAACATTTGTATGATAATATGAAGATAAAAAGTGTTGCGTAACTCGATGTTGTTGCGTTTTGAGTAATATTTCCAGGTATTCAAAAATAGGTCAATGAGTATTTTTATTCCAATCAAAAATTGTGCAAGAAAATTATTGATGATAAGATTTCAAGCTTCAAGAATCCTGAAATTGAGAAAAGTAAAGTCTTAAGACAAGTGGACAAAGATGAGCAAATTCATCTTTCGTGGATGAAATACGGTGTTGTTTTCAATTTAGAACAACTTTGTTGTTCGCAAAATTTGTACATCTGTCGATAGATTCTAGCCTTAATTTTTCATAACATTAAATCCCCCTTCTATAACCTTAAGCGGTGGAAAAATTTGCGCGCTTACTTGCTGTTTTTATTTGAAAAAGCCAAATTGTTCAACACAGTCAAAATGTTTGAAGATGGAAATGTTTATTGGAGATGAAAAAGAACTGGCAATTTCAGAACCAAAACAACAAAAGATAGCAAGCTTTAATTAAAATTTAATAAAGCTTTAATAATATTTCACGATGAATTTGAAGTTTTTTTGCTTCGTTTTGACCACTTTTGTAGTTATAGGTTTTTTCATGTCTTCTTAACTATAAGATTAAACTAACTTAATCTCAGTTTCTTAAATCTTAAATGCCTGGGCTGACACATTTCAAGATTTAATTTGAACAAACTTGCATCGATATTGTACAAATGTTGGACATGGACAGTGTTCAAAAGATCATAGGTACGCTCTTTGAAGCATCATTACTTAGTTGTTTTGAAAATGAATGTTCTTGCAATGTAAAGTTTTCTCAGCGAGAAATAATTTTAAAATTGGATTCTGACGCTTTGTTTTGCGAAAAAAAATCTGCAGATGGTAGAAATTGAAATTAAAAATTTCAGTTTATAATTTTTGTAAGTTACTCCTAAAAAACAATTGTTCATATCGAATGTATTGGTCCAAAAAGTCTTTTATAGTTCATAGTCTCCGTAAACAAGCTCCAGTTTGGTTTGCTGACCACAAATTAGACTTTGTTTAAAAGGCGAAACAATGATTCAAAACGAATGTTGTTTTCAGAAAAGTATTTTGAGCCTTGGAGAAATCACCTCTAATATGAAGACTTGCAGCTATGTGTCAAATGCAATTAATTTGTGTGGTCTTCTGTGTTTCTTCTGTCTAATTATCAATGCTCAAAGAAAGGTTAGTATTTTTCAGCTTTCTTTTTTGAAAAATGGTTATGAATATGGCAATTAAGGTTACTTGCAGTGACAGATCTTGATTGTTTTCAATTTTTGTTTTGAAACAATTTTGTTTTCTTAAAATTCAGAACTTTGTAATAGTGCCATAACTTTTTTATTTAAGAAACAAGGAAAACACCTGCAAGACAGGCAGCTCCACAGAAGTGATATGTCTCCAATAAACGGCGAGTATAATGTCAGTCTCGTTTGATTTTTTGAAGATAAGCTACAAAAATTTAAAAGAAGATGAAGAGTTGTACCAGTTTGGTTTTTCGAAACCAGATAAGCAGTTCGTTTCTTTGTAAAGAGATTTTTTTATGATAATTTTTGTGTATGTTCTAGTCGATGCATACTGGGCTTATCGCAACGCGATTGAAGCAAAATCAAACCCTAGCCCAGTAAGATGTGCGAATTGTACCTGCCATAGAGAAAAAGATATAGTAGTTGTGGAAGCGTGTGAGATCAGATCGGGGGTCATTTTGGCTCATAACATAGATGAATCTCGTGTTGATATGACAAAACTTTTTACAGGCAACGAAAAAAGGATTGAAATTTTTAACACGACAATTAAAACAATTATTGTTGACAAAAAGGAAACGAAGACGCGTTTTGATTATATGATGTTCAAAGAGAACTATCGCCTGGCCCTCACCGAGCCTGATTTCGGAAAAGTGCAAGTTGCTACTGTGTTGTTCAGAATAAGAGCACTTAAATTTTTAGATCGAACAGCCCTTCAACAGATTAAAGTCTTGCAGTTCTTCAGTATGAATTCTACAACATTTAATCTAGGAAACCAGCAAAAAAATATTTGGAGCAAGAATAATTTTTTTAAGTTGGAAATTCGGGGACCTCATACAACTTTTTCTGAAATACAAGAATGCGCGAAGCTTCGCTACGTTGAATTTGGAATCATTTGGTCTTCTCATCCGTCAAATGTTATCCCTGACGGCTTTTTGAGAAAATCAACCGCGCTAGAAACTATCTACATTCATCGATCACGGAATTTCATTCTGCCGGCAAACTTCATGTCCGATCTAGAATCAAAAAAAGATATCAACATGACCGTCAATATATGGAATGTGGATTCGATGTCACTCTCCAATCGAACGAAAATTCTGAACGGAATAAATCTGACTGACTCCCAAAGACAAATTTTAAACGGTTTCGGGGGCGAGGATGCTAAAAATTGCAAGTGGTTCTGTGATTGCCTGCCCAACGGACCAGGTGCCTGTGGACATTGTGACGACGACTGGGACAAGCAAAATTGCGGAATTTGTGTACGAAACCTACTTGGGGCGAATATGGACATCCACAAAAAACTTCGTGGCATATGCTTTTTGGAGAACTCCGAGGTAATAAACGACACAAAAATGCCGCCCCCTTATCCTACTTGGGCACCCGGAGACTATCAGCCTAATATGGGAAACGACTACGAGGGGGTAACCCGTCGAAGAGCTCTTGGGTTTGGTGCAACAGCGCAAATTGGTCTGATATTCCTCGTTTTGGTTGCTTTGTGGTTTAAAAGACGCTATAGATTACACTTCTTTTTCTTGTCAGAAACCAATTGACTAGAAACTAAAGCCTACGGTCGTTCTTCAAAAAAGTGATGAATGTTTTGAGGCTCAATTTCAGTTGGAACGAAAAACCTCTAACAAGAAAAAGTTTCTTATGAAAGAAGTCAAGTGTTTGAATTCATTCTTGAAACAAAAACATCACAATGTTAATTTTCGATCACCTGCTTTGAAGTTTTTTCCACGTTAACCATTAAGGCTTTTATTTTAAATATTTCCTTGCTGTTGTTGCCATAATGTTAATTTTGAAACTTAGATAGCTCTTTTACAGTTTATACGTTAATTTTTTGAAAATAAATTACCTAAATTCATAATTAGAATGTTTCGTTATAAAACATCATTTTGAATAAATTCAGTGGGATGAATCAAACAGATATTAACATTGATTTTTTTCAAAATTTCAAGTAAATTTTTAGTCATTTTCATTTTGAGTCGTACGAGGGCGGCAAACTCAAAAAAAGAGCTGCATTCTAAGTTAATATAAACGCTGCCTAGATTGCTGCAATTGTTTCTATTGAGTTCATAAATTTATGTTGCCTGGCCTATATAAATTCCTAGTTGCTTCTCTGTGTTATGTTGCTTCAATTAGAAAAAATTAGCCCTAATTTCTTGCGAAAAACCGTGTTTGAATACAGTGTTGAAACAAAAGTTTAGAAATGTTAATTGCCGATCAGCTGTTTTGAAGTTTCTTCCACGTTAATCGTTGATGCTTTTATCTTGAATATTCCGTTGCTGTTTTTGCCATAGTGTTGATTTTGAAACTTAAATAGCTCTTTTCCAGTCTCTCCGTTGGTTTTCAGAATTTATTTAATTTTTTATTGAAATATCATTTTAAATAATTTCAGTGGAAAGAAGCAAACAGATATTAGCACTCATTTTTTCAAGCATGCAAATTTTATAGTGAACTTCATGTTTCTTTATGTTATTTTTACGAGGGTGGCAAACTCAAAAAAGCTGCATTCCAAGTTGCCATTAGCGTTGCCTAAATTGTTGCTATTGATTCTTTAGAATTCTTATTTTGATGTTTCCGGTCTGTTTAAACTATTAGTTGCTACTCTTCTTTATGTTGCTTTTCTTTGTATTAAAAATTGAACTCAAGTTCAAGTTAAATCATGTCAAAAATTGAATGTACCCTCTGAATTCTTTTGAGACAATTTTCCAGAATTACTTGAAGGGGTAAAAAATAAACAAAACAAAAAAACTCGCTTTTTGGCTACTTTTCTTTTGCATAATTGTCTGTTGACTGTCCTGAGTTTTAGTCTATATCTTAAACGAACAGCTTTTTCTTCCGCGGTTCATTGTCAATCATCGTCAAAACATTTAAAGAGATTAAGACTTGACGATGAACCGCAAAAGAGATGCAGAAAAGCTTGTGTTCCAAACAAAAATGGCGCGTTTTTTCTTATTTTTGTTCATCAAAAAGCTTCGTCAAAAAAGAAATGTACGTTTGTTCTTAATATTTTTTTTGTTAGCAATTGCATATTGTTTTTCGCTCTATTTTTCTGAACTTTGAACTACGTTTTGATTGCAAATCTCAAAATTGTCTCGAAAAACGTAACAAAATGAAAAAATTACTTGACATTTTCACCCCCAGTTGTATCGAACAAGTTGTCGCCCTATACAAATACCTGATTCTCATAATAATATAAGCGTTTAAACAAACACCCTAACTTTTTTCGATGTGAATTACAAGACATGATGAGTTCGGGTGAATTACAGGTCATTTTTTGATTTAGTCTGGAAGAACCCCACACATACTTTTTGGTATGTAAAATTGCCCTGGTTTCACAATTTTTTGTGTAAAATTTGGGTTGCTTCGATTCACTATAACAAGTGGTATCTAGTTTCAGCTGAAGCCAAATTGATCATTTTCTGTTTGCTTGCGATACGTATGCTAATACTTACTTTTTGTCAAAGATAGATAACATTTGATTTAATAGGCTTTTTGGAAAAGTACAACATTGTCGTGTAGTTCGATTCCAATCGTTAATGTGCTATAACGGTTAAAGCAATTATGCAGTCATTTGTGATATCCAGATGTTTGGAAGATAATAAATTTACTTATTTTATTTATGTAAATGCCAAAAAAATCCCATTTTCTGCGTTTTCAGTTGTTGCGTTTCTTCTTTAATAATGTTGATCTAATTGTTATAAATTTTTAAGCTGAAGGTCACATTGTAATATGTTTAAAATTGAATTTATGAGTGAAATTTTCAGTAAATTTTTACAAAGTTATTCATGGCGGCTGAGAACTCAATAGTTTTTTTTCTGATAACTGGTTAGTGGTTGTAATTTTCAATTATAATTTTTAGTCTTTTGTTTTGTGCCTTTTTTGAAACAAACGCAAACCAATCGAAAGATTTAGACATGGCGATGGAAAACCAAAAAAATGCAGGAGAAGCTTGTGCACCATTCGAAATGTGGTTTCCTTTTCTGTTTTTTCTTCAAAAATGCTTGTCGAAAAACAGAATTTGAAGTATTCCTTGATAACTGTTTGCCTATTTTTTAATCCAGTTGTTGAGCCAAATTTCTGAATCTAAGTTCAAGTGTAAGGCTAAACATTATCTGGAAAGAACGTTTTTTTAAAAGTGAGAAAATTAGATGGCCTTTTACCCTTAAATTTTGTTACAATTTTTTCTCTTTTAAAAAGCTTAGTCTCTTAATCTTTTCAGCCACTGAAAGTACACCAAAAAATATGCTTTGTAAATGCAGGTCTTAAGACACGGTGAGAGTGTTTAATGTGAATACATGATCATTCTGCGAACTTTCCTTCGTGGTAACCGACAGTATTATCATCTTGATATGGAACATTTTTAGAGGTTTTGACAACAAGCAACGCATAATTTTCACCCGGGTTGACAAAAATGCTTATCATACTAATTCATATTATGAAAAAAAGGCTTATCATATTGTTTCATTTTATTTCATACTTAAAAAATACAAATAAAATAGCAATTACATATTGTTTTTCGCTCTATTTTTCTGAACTTTGAACTACGTTTTGATTGCAAATCTCAAAATTGTCTCGAAAAACGTAACAAAATGAAAAAATTACTTGACATTTTCACCCCCAGTTGTATCGAAAAAGTTGTCGCCCTATACAAATACCTGATTCTCATAATAATATAAGCGTTTAAACAAACACCCTAACTTTTTTCGATGTGAATTACAAGACATGATGAGTTCAGGTGAATTACAGGTCATTTTTTGATTTAGTCTGGAAGAACCCCACACATACTTTTTGGTATGTAAAATTGCCCTGGTTTCACAATTTTTTGTGTAAAATTTGGGTTGCTTCGATTCACTATAACAAGTGGTATCTAGTTTCAGCGGAAGCCAAATTGATCATTTTCTGTTTGCTTGCGATACTAATGATAATACTTACTTTTTGTCAGAAAATGTGAAATTATATCCAGTCCCTTCCTCAATAGATGCAAATTTGATTGGATAGTCTTTCACACATCATACTCCTTAAGTACAAAAAGACAAATTAGATCAGAAAAAAAACATCATAATTTCACATAAAAGTTTTTTTTTCCGCACGCACCAATATCGATCAAAGTACTCTACAATGACTGTCTCACTGACAACCGGATAAATGCTCTCCTCATTGCAGACATATTGCAGATAAACAATACTTTGAAGGACCAACTTTAAATTTTAACCACGGAACCTCTTTCGGTACAAAACGCCCTTTATTACCATCGTCTGGAGGAAACTCATACATAATGGTCATTTTAGACGCATATATTCATTACCTAGCACTAAACCCTTTTTCATACTGCAATGCTTATTGCACATACGTAACACTCTATAACATTAGGTACCTAAATTTGGATTAACAGAAATTCTTGTTACAGATAACGGAACAGAAGTTGTTAATAATAAAATTATTATCTCATTTCATTTTTATGACATGAAACAAAAACCTAGAGCATCCAATGGTACATAGATAATGATCAAGTTCAATATGAACCGTTTATTACAAGTATAACTCCAACGTATATTTAAGGGTAATGATAAAAATTATTTTTAATTCAGCAGACATGAAGTTGTTCCCACTAGCATATAACTCTCAAACTACAAAAACACTTCAAAATGTACCTTATAAAATGGTTTTTGATACAAGCAAACCCAAAATTTTCACAGCAATTTCTCTCAAAACTCACAAGGACCTTGTCAAGTAACGAAAGACACAAAATGTTATAATACACCACTTCATACTCATGATGAAT